TCATGTGTCATGTCTCTCTACAAACTCCTGATTGAAGGGGAATGCCTAGTTACGATCTAAGGGGAATGTGTCTCTACAAACTCCTGATCGCAGGGGAATATCTAGCTACCATCTCAGGGGAAGGTCTCTCTACGAATTCCTTATCTCAGGGGAATGTCTCTCTTCAAACTCCTGATTGAAGGGGAATGTCTACTTACGATCTAAGGGGAATGTGTCTCTACAAACTCCTGATCAAAGGGGAGTGTCTATCTACATGCTAGTTTTCTATTGGTCATGTCTATCTATAAACTACTGTCCTGAGGGAAATGTCTATAAAATTCTGTTTAAAGGGCACTCTATACTTCAAAAACCCCACAAAAACAACTCATTTTAAGGTACAATTTCCATTTAATTGCTAGCTCCTCTATGAAGGATAATGTATTTTTATTTCTTGTTTGAAAGGTAATGTCCATTTATATACTCCTGTCTCAGACCTAATCAATATCTGTGCTGTATTACCATGTAAGATTATCATTGGTAAAACATGAAGCTACAACAGAACTGTAAGATATTGATTCATAACTGTCTGATAATTTCTTACACTTAACTCTTATTAAAACTAAGACCAGAAAAATTGATAGAATAATGAAATATAGACAAATTTCTCTCAATTAGACTAGACACCATTGAAATATCAAACTCTCTTTACACTTGGGATTCTGTAGCACATTCAGTTTAATTGTTGATTCTTATCATGACATCATTACTTGGTAGTAGGTTCTCATGTCTGTCTTCTGCATGTGAAAGTCCCCTAACCTTGAATAGGTTAGCTTCACTCATAACTCAAGTCAACCCAGATGACAATGGGTATGAATAATCAGGAAAAGATCAATGCCAAAGAGGTTTTGCTAAGGACCAGCTGGTAGAAAGTATCCTTGACTACGAACTTAAGTTGTTATCCTTGTAAAATATATTTGTTCCTTCTTTTGTCTTCAATATTGGCATCTGGAAGTGACAGAGCTGCCCCATGTCTTATTCTTAGTATTGAACAAATACTTCAAACTGAGACTTCTATTTGATTGACTCAGCATGCCTAGCAACATGGTGTCATTACTTATCCACTGTGATATGACCAAACCCAAACAGTAGAACCTATTTGGAGAATATAATGAAGGAATCAGGTTTGAACCTATTTAACACATAGATAAGACTAGAGCCAGAAATAAGGGAATGATAAAAATCAATGAGAGAAGTGGAGAGAATATTTATATCTGATAGTAACCCATGATGAAAGAGAAGAAAGTGAAGCTATAAATTGATGGAAGCAACAGAAAGATTGAAATATCATCAGATCAAGCAAATATTTCAACACTTCATTTATGTCATAAATTTGGTTTAACACCTACATACCTGACCTATTTTGATAATGATTTGACTACTAATGGTTCAGGCTGAATATTTTCTTTCATTAGTCCTGATGGTATTGTTATATCATTAGTATATATAGTAATAAATAGAATGTAAGAATATTAAATATTTCTACCAGTACCAAAACAAGTTCTTCCTTGCAGCAATAGGCATTATTAAAGCTTTATCATCTGAGAATCTTTCAGTTAATGGAACTTGCAAATACCTATGTTTTGCCAGACTGCTGACTGCCCACTGCATGAAATAATTGAGATTCTGAATTCCCCATTTTCTTCGACAACAGGAACTTGCTCTTGTTTATTGAGATGGCTTGTATCTCTAATAAGCCTCAACTTAACCCTATTTCCAAATCTGGATTGTGTGTTTGACTGCCTGTCAGCAGCATGAGTTGAGCTGACATCGTTTAGAATATAAGCCTAATATGAATAGATGGTGTATTTAAGTCAGTTAAATTGTATGATTTAAACTGTATACTGTCTGTAAATGATAAACTCTTTCACTAAATATCTCTTTATCTACTGCACTCTACACAGCTGCTTATTCAAATATTCAAATTCATGAATAGATTCATTTAATTGTTTGAACTGTTTTTCCTGCATTAGATAAGATTACGTTTGAAAATGAATTCGTTGTATTTGGTTGCACTTGTATATAGTATATAAACATTATTTGAATAATTTTATGTTAATTAAACCTGTCACCAACTGATACAAAATAATTATTATCCTATCAAATACTAGATATTCTTAACATGAATATGATGTACATGTTTTCTTTTCTTCATATTATTAACAATTCAAGATTTATTGGAGAATTTGAATGGACACATAAACTACTTGCCTATCCCCTTAATAACAATTATACTATATGATTTATATAATATTGCATAAAAAACTCTTTAAAAGTTTCAAAACTAACTGTAGTATTTGATGAAATACAAATTTAAACTTATTAAAAAGGATGAAAGTGACTTTGCACAAAATGAAGGATAAAAATTGAGGAAATTTAAAAAAAATTCAACCATTATCTAAAATCTATCAAAATTTCACAACAAAGTGTAAATAGGAGAACTAAGCAGTTTTGTTTATTTTCTGTTACATACACCACACTCATCATAGTTTGTATTTTCCTGATCACAAAATAGAGTTTTTATATTATTGTTGACAACATGCTGAACAATGTCTGTGGGCGTTAAGATATTTTCTTTTTGTGAACCGGAATCTCATTATATAGTCTAAAGATGAAGTAACAAAGCATTTCATATTGAAAAGATAACCTAATGGACAAGGAACTCTGTCTTATCTCCCTCTTAAATTATAATTTATGATAACGGATACACATTTCATTACATTGCAATATCACTATAAATCAAGTAATGACCTAGCATCAGATGTAAGGTGACCTCAAATTAAGAAATAAAATCCCAGTTTAGATGCAAAAATTCAAGCATCACATGACCAGCCTAACAGTAGATTAAAACAGTTCAAATTTTGTGAAACCTGGTCAAGATCATTAGTTGTGTACAAATTTAAGAATCAAACAAAAATATGTAAGTATTAAAAAGACGTCGAATGTCATTGGCAAAGTGAAAAATGCCAATGGAAACACCCAGTCTGAAAATTTCATAAAGCAGTTTACATGATGTTTCAAATTCCTTTCTAGAAGTGTAGTAGATAGAGATAAGTGGTGCCCCAATTGTTCATTTTGCCAAGAACAGATAACCAAAGTCTGTATATAAGCCAGAATAAAGATATGTTTTCTATTCACAGTATAATTTGATAAACAAACATACAGAACAAATAATTATATCTTATTATCAATTGACATTTCTATAAACCTTCCATGTTTACAACATAAAAACCCTAAAATATACTTCACCTTTCAGGACTTACATCTCAAATATTTGTTTCTCCAAGAATGAAAGAAAGATAAGTACATGTATATATTTATGTTACAAGTAAGTCGTTAAGTGTTGCAATTGAAGAAAAAAAAAAGATCTCACAAGACAGTCTATAGGCCTATAGATGTGAATCTCTGGGTTAAAATTCTGGACAAATCCATAGATCATGGATACAGTACAATATTGGAAGACACAACAGCCTAGATAAGTTTCAGGTGCAGACACAGCAGTACTTATAATTTGAATACGAACCCATTTAGGCGAGACCAAGAGTGAAAATTGCAGTCTTTTCATGGATTTTTGTCATCAATTTAGGACTTCTCCATTTTTATGCTGGAAACCAAGAACTTCTGATATTGTTAATATTTTTCATTGTGAGTTTGTTCTACATATAGGATGTATATTAAGATAAAGGATGTATATTAAGGTATATAGACGTAGGTGTAGACCTATATAAGTACAGATAAGTATGATATAACAGAAAGGTTATAAAGATGATAAAATGATAATGATATCTTAATGTCTTTAATATCATTTAATTAACCTAATATTGACATACTATTATTATCTTCTCAATAACAAGAGTTCTGTGGTTACCATGGGATCAAAACTATTTAAAAATCATCTACATAAATGAGTTGTAAAATCGAATTGTATCTTGCAACAATGACCATACAACAATGCAAATTACCACTGTAATCCTACTAGTTTTCAACAACAAATTTTGAAAGCCATCTACCCTCTTAGTGAAACAACTGTTTTGCAATACTGCAACTGTTGATCTGAAAGCACATGTCAATAATATCAATCTGGATGATGTGGAAGTAAATATTTGATAAGGTCTTTCAATATCATTCACAGAATAAGACACCTAAATAATTTATTCACAGAATCTTTTAGATATGGAATATAGTTCTCTTGATATCTGTTAATCATTTGAATGTCATACAGACCAAGTTTTACCAAAACTATTTTACATCAGAATTAAGTTAGGGTATTGATAGGCATTGAAAATTACAAAACATCTGATGGTACTTCTCGTTTCAGAGTGTTCGCTATATACCTCAGAAAAGAACAACAAACATGCTACCCCTTGAAGTAAAATAGGAGGGGTAAGACAACATGCTATATAGATATATAATTCAGGTGTATATTATTATAATATTATATTGTATATAAACAGAGGTAGCCAATTGTTTTATACATAATAAAATATATTGCCTAAGGTGTTATACAAATAGTTATCTAAATAGATTTATGTTGTGTTTTTCAAAACATTGTGGTTGTATGTGTTTTAAACGTATAAAAATAAATTGATGATGTAGCATTTTAAATAAATTATTACTCTTCAAGACAACTGATTCTGGATAATGTTTGATTCTTGTTTAACAGAATGGTGCCAACAGTGCATGTTTATAACCAAACTTCTGAATGATTCTTGATGGAGATAAAGGTTTTCAATCAAATATATTATCAAAAAATGTTTAAAGATCATTATAAAACAATATTTCATAAGGTTGCAGGCAATTTTTTTTTATAGAAATGGTTGTTCCATTGATGAGAAGAGCTGTGAAAGTCTCAATAAATAATCTCTTAGATATAGCTTTGTACAAGTCAGCATCACCTTCCATAGTTACACTATACTAAAAGAGATATTAACTAATGCAAGATCAAAGATTTAAACTTGACTTACCTTTCATTTTTAGCTTGAGATACAATCCGAGATTTCTCTAACAGATACTTTTCTACAATTGCCCTGAAAGTAACAATTAAATATTGAAATACATACATGGAATCTCATCAAAAACATTAATATACCAGAAGATGGCTTGTTGATATAAGAACTAATATAATTTCTGCAAAAACTAATTGGCAACATGTAATCAAAAACTTCAACATTTCTGAGACTCAAATGATCTGCAGACAAACAACTAGCATTAGTCTACATACCCATGAACCATTCCATTTTCTTTATAATTTACTTGAATAAATTTACCAAATCTACTAGAATTATTGTTGTGGACAGTTTTAGCATTACCAAAAGCCTGAAATGGTAAAAAACTTTAAAATGGTGAATGAATACTTAATTACAGTTTGAAAAGAAATATACTATAGTGACTATTAGTAACCCAGCCTAACTATCAATTTAACTCTCTATATATTTGAAACATATATTTTATAATACCCTGGAAGAACTCATCTTTTTCTGAGGAATTTTGGAAAAGTCTCTGTCTACTACCTATGCCTCTGCTGTTTAGAGTAAATTGTGTATCTATTAGACATGATTTTGTGTTTTAAAAATCATCCAGATTAATTTAGAGTTGATGTTAAAATACAAAAAGAAAACTAGTTGGTATGATGCCAACAAGACAGCAATAGTAGAACTAAAGACTGGAATTAGGACAGTGGTGTAACCTATTTTCGTGGATATAAGGATTCAACACCAAATTTCGTCAAAGTTAAAAAAACGAAAAAAATATTTTATGTCTTGGATGTTTCCTCAGATATTCTACAAAATAATTAAAATTGGTTTATTTTGATTTTCTTTATGAATCGTTCACTTTGAGCCATATTTCATGAGCAACCAACTCGGCACCGGCGACAGAATGCGTCACCTATTTTCGTGTACAATGTTTGATCTATAAATAAGTCTAGAAAAACACGTTGTATGGATACCCGGTGGTATAATTAACTTTTATATTATAAATATTTATCTTTAATATCAATTCATTATAACTAGTGACAATTCCTTCAAAGAACCACGATTTTAAAATGAAATAGTGACTGACAAAATAAGATACGTAGCATGATTTATTGCTAAAAGTCACTGAAACAACATAAGAATATGACCCACTTTGTGTTCCTTAAAAATTTTCTGCTGACACGGAATCCGCTAGTTGATCACGTGACTTCATTCGTTGGACTACATTCTAGCAGACGACACTTGGAATTCCGATTACCGCTTGGGATTATAAGGAAATTCGGCCGATAAAAAATGGTGACGTTTGGTAATAACTGAAATCCGCCATTTTGTATTTGTCAAAGTATAGATTAATACATTTTACCTTGCTTGAAACTACTGGATTAATTCTACCAGCTGATATTGTACAGAAAACCCATGATTATTAAAACAAACTAATGCGGAGGTCACGCAAGGTCGCTCATGCAAATTATTAATCCTTTCTGGAAATCCACAAAAAATAGGTTTCCACGAAATTAGGTTACTTGACTGTACAGATATTTTTCTTTATAATCTGTGTATTATCTTTGTTTTAAATCAAAACAATTGTTTAAGTGTAAGATTAACACTTATATCAATATACAAGAGTAAATATAGTAGATAATGATAATATGATTCAATATTTAACAGTAGCCTTATTTAACATATGATTTTAAAAAAAGCTTCAAAGAAAGATAGCTATTGACTTACTGATCAAAACTGATTGTGAAAATAGAAAAAATTGTCTACCAATATTTCGGACAAAACATCAGTCAAAAAAAGCCAGAAATCAATGATCATCGCCAGTGCAGATGGGCCATAAGTCTGATTTACAATTCATAAATAAATTAGTTATGTAGATTCTCTGATTGGAACGCCAAGATGACCATCCCAGTTGCAGAGTAGAATCATGTGCTCCATAAGAATAAGCATAATTGTGTCTCCCTATCAGCACGTACCATCTTCTGAAGCTCAGAACATAAAAAAAAGACCAACAGGACAAATATCAACAAAAGCCTGGAATCTAACATATGACAATGTAGACAATGGAAAGTGTATATTGATGGAATGTTATGAAATGATAAAATATCATTGCATTGTTAGCTGTACAGGAAGTAAAGTGCCAATAATAATAAATACATGTATATTTACTAATATTTTCTACATCTGTAGAAACTATTTGTAATTGGGTGTAACTATGGTTGCACAATCATACTGGTCAACACACAATATGTCTACCATGTGTTTTTAGTTGCATTTTTGCACATGGCTCCAGTACATCCTCAAGACACATTTAAAAGAAGGTACCGGTACTTTGCAAGTCAAAAAAAAAAACCTTCTGAAAATGGTTTACTGATTAGGTTCTGCCTGAGCGTTTCTGCGCACCAATAGTGGCTATCCAGATTATCACATGATAACGTTTCTAAACCAAAAAGACTTCATGTTGTTTGTAAAGAGGAAGTCAAATAAAAAACTTATTAAAACATGAATTCAAAATGACAATAAAATGTATAATAGGCAACAAATTAATCATAATAATGCAGTAAATGCATATAGCAATTTATGCAAATAACTCTGAACTATATTGACATTACCATGTTACATCATGTGACAAATTATTGGTAAGACAGTGAAGTAAAGAGACACACCCCAGAGTACTCAACCAAATCTACCATTCATTACCAAGACAGCTTTATGTTAACTACCAATAGATGTCAAATGATGTTTTTATGCTTAAAAAATGACATTATAAGCAGAAGGCTTAAAAACTCTTCTTTATGAATTGAGTAAAGTTTAAAAAGTATTGTCACACTAAATTCATGGATTTCGTGATTGTTATAGAATGTGGGCATTTAAAAAAATATTTATGATAGAGTTAGATGAGAATAGTATTCTCACAGAAACACTGGCCTTTATCATGAAGTAAGAAACAGAATAAATAGAAGTATTGAGATGATTTATGATTGTCATTCGCCCAAACAGCTCAATTGCAGTACAATATTATTGAATACAGGTCTTGAGGATTTATCTATATATTTTAGTCAGCAGAAATAAACATAGCTAGAGATAAATTGATCAATGGGGTGTTAAATTATTAGAAGATTATGAACTATATTAAGCTGGAGGCTATATTTATAATTATTTATTCAATCATATTGACTTATAAGATTGATATGGTAATATTTGGTGAGGCAAGACTTAACTCTATATATTTTGACTAGACTATGTAATCACTATAATATGTTAATATACAGATTATATTCTTCTAATATTATATGTATTAATAACCAAATCCTTTTCTTCCAATTTCTTCAAAATGGTTTAAAATCACAATGAAATGTTATGTAAATAAAAAGCGACCAAAACTACTGAAAAGGGTACCAATGTTCAGAGATGGAGCTTCTCTTCCATACTTGTCAGATACGACTCACAGAACTTGCAGGAAAGAAGTTTATTAACTATATCAACATTATTTTACCAGAATTCACCCCACCTGACATCATTTCCAAAAAGATCTTCCTCCTTTTGAGAACTGAAGCGTTATCATGGAATGAACTGTTAATTTGACTAAAGCTCAGATCGTGGTGCCAATATTTGTGTTTAGTACATGAATATGGTCATCAAGACAGGAAATAAACATCTAACATCAGGATTAAAGGTGTAAGGGTAAAATAAGCAGACTGTCTTAACAGGAGCAACTAATAGTTCAGAAAACAAAGAATACTGACAAGAATTTGTGATATCTACATTGTTCTATAAAACACAGTCAGAACAGATGCAAACTGTTGGTACCATTAAAGTAGGTATAGTATTTACAGGAAACATTTGGTCTGTGTACCATTGCCAGGATATTTGAGATTCCAATTTCTATGTGAACTATATTAGATGTGTATTATAATACAGGAAGATATCAAGGTTCTAATGAACAGGATATCCTTTAACTCTTAACAACCATTTCTATTGAAGTTATTTCTTATATTTCTATATTGACATCTAGATCATTTAAATTACCTCTAAATAAAGCTGACACACTCAAATTTGACATTATTTCAATATAGCATATATTGGTCTGATATTTTTTTACCAAATAGAAATGAAACTGTCATTTACTTTTTTGACATTACTAATAATGATGTTGAAGTGACCACATACAGTTTGTAGACTAAAGGTGATGAGTTTTAAAACATAAGGAAATAGCTATCAATCTGGTTTTCTGTTCTTAGATGTATAAATTAGTTTAGTATTCATGTAGTATACATGTTCATAGGCAGGTTATTCAAATATCTATTCCACTCTAACCTTGAAGATTCACATAAAAACATAAAACAGTCTGCAGCGAGAAGGAAAATATAAGCAAAATATTGATCATTTCTACAAATTGAAGAATTGAGCATGTGAAACCCATCTTGAGAACAGACGGATTGTTGTCAGATTGTTGTTGAATTATAAAATATTGACCCTACAATAATCTCAATTCAATATCACAGGATATGTCCTCTAAAGTTTAGATTTTGACATACACTTATTCTATATCCCTTAGGCACATTGCACTTGATTTCTCTATTATAAGTGTTTAATTTCATCTGCATGAATTGTTTTGATAGTAATTTAAGTCCTAACAACGAACAAAAGATATGCATCTTAAAAAACAAACATATTTTTGGCTATTCTCAAGGAATTATTTTGACACAATTATTCAAAATACATGTATCCATACATAAAATAGCACTGTGAAATAATATTATCTAGGATTAGAGTGAGTTTATGTTTACCTGGCATAAGACATTTTCTTCGGGATGAATATCGAACCACCCTGACACAGTTTCTGTCCATTCAATGACATGGTCTTCAAGCATGATTACAGTCTTTATGAACTAGCATGAGGAGTGTGGTGAAGGATAAATGCCATGTCAAACAGAATTTTCAAAAATTTGGCATGCATCAATCTAAGCATAAATATGTAGTGCAATTGACTGACAATGCAGCAAATTTTTTTTGTCTTGCAATGCATATTGCATGACATGAACAAGCTGCAAAAGCTGCACTCCAATGTGCACCGCTGCAAAGCACCGAAATGGCGCACCTTGTCAAGAACAATTGCGGAACATTGCTGGGAAAAAGATTTGGCAAGTGTCAGGGTGGCTTAACATAGCATCTCTCTGAACAGATGTCTCTTTTGTGGCCTAATTCCTTTCTTTATCGTTTGAGTAGCATTAATTGCCAACTTGCAAAAAATTTGTCTTGCCCAAATAAAAGTTAATTATCAAACAAGGTTAAACATTTTCCTTCTTCACACGGATCACTTCCTAATTCAACTTTTTAATTTTAAAATCAAATACTTAATATTTCAAGAGTAAATTGCTGTAGATTAATGTCATAAAAATGGTTTAGTAGGAGTCAAGATTTTATGATGGCCATAATGTTATGCAGATTAGAAGAGGTATGTCATGTAATGAACTAGGGAGTAGACAATAAAAATTGTTGACAAGAAAAGAGAGGATTGTGACAATTAACATAGTTGACCCCTGTGACCTACACCTGGCCTTTACAAAACTTATCTAAAACCTAGAAAACAACTCACTTAAAATTTTCAACAAAAAAAGTTTGTAGTGTTAAAGATGGGAGTGTGTTCTAAATTTGAGAAATTATATAGTTAACACTTTTTTTTCGCATTCCTTTCATTATCCTTGACATCAAGAAGCTGTAGAGAAGTGTAATTTTAGGTGCGCTTAGTGGTTGAGTTTTAAACTCTTTCTAACATCATGGAAACTTTTTGAAATAAACTTGTTAGTTATGAAAAAAGAGTCTTTCTTTGTGATCTGCATTTCCAGAACCATGGCTGTGAAATCAGAATAACCCCTATCATAATATTGCCAAATAAACATTATATTTGAAGAGAACCTTAACTTGGACCTTAGGTTGGACATAAACATGAATAACCAGGAAAAAAAAATTGTATACAAACCTCTAAAACTGGGCCAGCACCTAATATAGTTTGTTCTACACCACTACCATGTAATCCTTTATGACTTAACGCTGTTAAATGATGCAGTAATAAGTTTGTACTTTCTGTTTTACCCGAACCTGATTCACCTGATATCACTATACACTGATTCTTTTTAGTTCTCAACATAGTATAATATGCTGCATCAGCAATTGCAAAGATATGAGGAGGTAACTCTCCCAGTCGTTTGTTTTGGTACATTTTGACACACTTTGGATTATAGATAGGAAAGAATTTGAAGGGATTGACAGCAATGAGTATAGATCCAACATAGGTATAAATATAATTATTGCTAAACCTAGTTTTTAAATTTTCTAGAAGAGTTTTTTCATTGAGATTCGGTAGGTTACATAAATCAGTATATTCCTTGTTACCGATTGGTTGTTTTAGAAATGACATCAGGAACGTATCTGTATCTTTACACTCCATCCATCCTGAATTGTGAGACACTTCAGGATCTTTCTTTCGTAAATAAAAACGGTATCCAGTCAAAAGACCTTGACCTTTGTCAATGTCAGCATTGATAATTTTTGGCCAGAGAAGCTGGATTCCAACAGGGGTATCCATTGGATCCAATCTTCGTTCTTTACACAGTTGACCACTTGAAATAAAAACTTCAGCGAGTTCAAAATTATCACTATTTCCTAATTTTTTCAACTTGTGAACAGCAACTTTAGTGATATCCACTGATGCTGTTGATTTTTCTGCCTCCACAGAAACAAATTCACTTTCCTGACTGAGTGAGCCAGTATAGACTCGAATCATGTATGTCTCCATACTTTGACGACGCAAAATTTGGATCTCACTTGTTGGTTGTAACGCCATAATAAACTAAAAACATAAACAAACACAAGAAATGATAAATCCAACATGGCAGTTGGTGTGAACAACTGCTAAATGATCTTCCACCTGACACACTGCCAACCTACAGTAGATGTCAGCTCCATCTTCTTTACTTCTTACTTCTGTAAATAGAACAAAAATTCAATATAATATGTAATAGTATTCAAAATTCTACAGTTCATACAGTTCAGTGATTGTTTAGAAGGATGAAGGAAATTACGTTCTTTTTATGTTTTATCAAATCAACATGAAACTAAAATATAGAACAGCCTTTATGAATGGATTAATTAACCCCTATTGCATTACAGAAATCATCTGATTTCAAAATGGTTTCATGACGAAACAGATAATTTTTTTGTAATACAAAAGGGTATTCGTTCTGAGGACTATCAAAATTCTAGCCCACCTCGAGGAGATGATATCGATACAGTTCCCAGAATCGACTATACAAAATGGCGTTACGTAAAAAGTAACCGTCCTCAGCCCAGTGACCTTCACCTTTTCATCATTATTCAGAGCCATTGTTGTTTATAAAGGGTGACTACACGGAACTAAATTCAACTTCTTCTGCAAGAAGAGTTCCACTGTGCCGAGAACGATTTCATTAAAGAGCTATTTACACACCACTTAAGTAAATGGGCACATTTTACCACAGACCGAGAACAGCTCTTTATAATGGCATGTTGTTAAAGGGGCTTATGTAAAAATAATCTTATTCTATATCAAGACGTCTACATGGTATATTTAGTAACCTTAACTTAAATAACCAAATAAATACAAAGTAACTGATATATTTTCTAATTCACAATGTGACCCAAGTAAAAATATAATGACACAATTTGTTTACAGTTGAATAACTTTATATGAATAGACAAGTCATTCAAGTGAGGAAAATTTCACATGTAATATGCACTGGTATTATACTATATAGTAAACAAACAATGAGGAAAAGACTTCAATATCAAACTGTTTTTATAGCTCAAACTTTTTACATTATTACACTTAACTTTAATATTGCAACATATGTACTTTAGCCTAGCTGTCAAACTTTAGGGTGCATTCCAGCAGGACATTTCAAGATTATTTGCTTAAAACATGTCCTCATAGGTCCATACTATGCCATGGGATACTTTGAATTCAAAATTTGCACAATATCCAGCCTTGAAAAATCTTATTATGAAAAGATCATTGAACTGATTATAGCTGTAAGAGATTGAGAGATATCAAGTGTAGATCAGAGAATTAGCAAGTTTACCAAATTGAAATGCATTTTCAACAGTGCTATAATTCTCGTAAATAATTACGCTACTGTTTGCTAATATTCCATCACATCAAACAGAGAATTAATAAAACAACCCACAGAAAATGTACAAAACAAAACATCTCAAGCTGTATTTCAATCAGAATTGTGGGTAACCAGTATAGTTGGGAGAATTATTGAAGTAATAATTGTGTTATATTTCTTATCATTATTGTATCATTGGACTATTCTGGTAACTAGATATCTCCAACCACCATTTCTACCATTAGTCTTAATTATACAACATCTGATTAGAAAAACATTGACTAAAAGACAAAAATAATCTGACATAAATCTTTAGTAGTGTATTTAGGTCACTGTCTTATTCATACACCCTAGACATGCCTGTTCTACCTGATATATCTCATTAGTGATGTTTTGCATACAAAGCTCTGGAACTTTGAATGAAGAGGACAAGAGAACTGCTCTGCTATCTACAATTACAATGCAGACATAAAGTGAGTGTTAAACAAGATTTTACCAGAAAAACAACACCAATTCTTTTCATTTTTCAGCAATGTGAATATCAAGCCTGCAAGAGGATTGAACAACAAGGACATAATCCTAAACCATGTAAACCTTTCACACTGATGAAATGGAGCAAAGTTTCCAAGAGCAATTTTTCTGTTCAAGATTTACAGAAATACAGAGATATTTCACTTAATCAAACATATACCATCACCAAAACCCATCATTGCTTAGACAATATTTTGGGGTTTGTGATGTCAAAATAATCAAGAATTCCATAGCCATAGCCCATAAAAAGTATATGTAATGTAATCTGGTTTATGTCTGATCTCATTTTGACCCAAATACACCAACCCATAAATCAAGAAATATTTTATATGTGTGGGCCTAATTCAAATGACTCAGCCATTTTATCAACTTCACATGTTTTTAAAAAAATTACTACACAAATGTTTTAAAAGTTTCTAAAGTTGAAACAATCTATAATTGATTGGTAACTGTTTTGTGAAAGAAAATCTTTGAAAGCAATTGATCCAAATCTACTCAAACATTCTTTCCAAATCAATAAATAAATATAAAGAATTTGGGTGAAGTAATTTAAGTGAAATAATAAAGTGAGGTTAACAAGTAGAGAAATGAACTCATCCTATTTAAACTGTTATATACATGTATTTGTAAGATTAGACATCAGTACTGTATTTCTGCTTTTAAACCAAAGTGATCACTACAATAAATATGCACCTAATGTCACTTTATCATTGAAAAATGACCATGGTCATCATCGGTTAGACCAATATTACATTAGTCTGAGAAATGGAATTTTTTAGCAAAGCTAATAAGTAATAGTTTTCACCGCTCACCGTTGAAATGTGATCATTCACATCCATGTGCATGTCCAGAGCAGAATCATCCACTTTTGGAAGTTTAAGGTATATTAGAAGGGATAATGGGATTGTCGTGCAGTTCTAGTACAAGAACCAATTAATCCTGAAAATGCTGAACCATTGCCTTTAATGTTCCATTGAAAATGTCTTTTATCTGAATGTGTGGCATTCTCTCCATCATTAATTCATTTGTTCTGATCTGCCTAGAAAACTCTACTATACAGATTGATATCTAGAAGGTAAAAAACTTATCTTACACCATCACTATAGATTGCTCATCAATCAAAATATCGGACTTTATTAATTATCTACCTTCGTTAGTGATACAGTCTAATTAAATATATCAATCCTTGATACATCATCCAGGAAATATCCAGCAAAAAAAAAATAAAATATAGATGAAAACAAATCAACAACCAAGTGCAGTTTCGAACTGCATCCATCTTGTATATGTTTGACTAACGACACAGATGACAAATCTTTCAGTTCACTGATCATAAATACAAGAACAACCAGTCACTTTTGATAACTATTCAAATTCTTCTCTTGATAAAACTCAAACTACTCAAAAAAACCAGATTCATCAGAATCATAATGACAAAGCTTTACAGTAAAATAAACTGAACACAACATACATATTCTTTACTATCAACTACAAATATTCTTTCCTGACGACCAATGAACCCAATCAAACAGACCCTGTAACTTTATATTATGAATTTAATCATACATAAAACTTTAAATTAAAATGCAGTTTTCTTAAATTATATGACTGTTCAGATAACTTATTTGCTGAGAATTGTGAAACATACTTTCACCATTATCTATATGATTTGCCAATAATAATTTAGGTGCACCCTATGCAATGTCAGAACCAAGATGTAAATTGTGGTGAGAAATGATATGTTATCTGTAGAAAATATTTCTATTACTAATCATATACAACATGCACTCATTCTGGTGATACAGATAAATATAATCATTGGAGGTTAAATTATAACTTATATCATACTGTTTATAGTTTATCATTTATCATAAATTTATCAATTTATATAGACTTTTATTATGAAATATATTCTACTATCATCAAATAATGACTCAAGTCTGTACACAGTTTTTTATCAGTAAAAGCCTGGGGACTGTAGATTATATTATTTATCCTTTCATTCAGTATACTCTCTTTAAAAATATCTTTACTGTCCTTACTTATATAGACATCCAACAAATTACATTTTTGATAGACAGAGGATTCCAACATCAGATTTCAATTTTCAACAGAATGATTAGGTTATATGAAATTCAATGTCCTGCTAACTACATGTATACATTGGTCACATTGCTGATTTTTACAAAATCATAACAATAATTTAGCCAAATGGAAAAAATCATCTGAAAAGTTACTGAAAAACTGGAGGTGATAGTTTTTATTTTTCAAAATATCCTCAAAATCTAGTAAAGAATTTAACTTACTTATCCACATTAATATATACGAAGTTAAAACAGCTTACTGACATGTAATGAGCAGAATTTCAAAGATGCTACAAAGGCAAAGGAGCCAAACTTTTTGGGGTATGCTTGCCAAAAACTCTCATTTCATGCAATGGCACCAGAAAACATTTATCAACAGGGAGCTATTCCATCAAACACATTTCATAAAAATCTACTGGTCCTAGCAGAGAATAACAGAAGCAAAACACATTTGACCACAAGTTTATAAACATTGACCTCATTACACTAAAAACCTATCAAATATTCTTAAAAGAAGTACACAAAGAGCAAAAATGTGGTAATATAAATATTTAGACAACTTTTAGACATGGAAAGTTAAATAAATAAATGTGGAATATAACTTTATAGATTTAATCAATATTTCATTATTACAGGTAAATTCTTAATCATCGAGTCATTACTTAAAATGATGGACAGATTGTCAAGGTTTTCCCTACTTTAATTAAATAATAATAATAAGGTTGTCTTGTCTTAGGTTAGAATCTAATTATCAATCATTATAACATAAATACTTCCTAACAGCTTGCAGGTATAACCGACCAGCAATCTGTTAATAGTGTATACACATGCACATCATATTCCAGTTTTTATTGAAATTTTAATTTTGTTTAGATAAATGAGGTGAAGCGCCCTATCTTTCATTTTAATACAAATATATTATAGTCTTTAGAAATTTCTAAACTGTAATAAGCCTTTATTTTAATGTATTATAGTCATTATGTTTATTGCAGTCAAAATAAAGCACTTTAAATATATCTTTATGGCAGTTCTGA